GGTAAAATAGCTGTCTTCATAAAAAAAAAAATGGACACCACAATTATAAAAATCAACGCTCTTCTGACATAGAAGAATCACAAAATATATCAAAATTAACCTTCCAGTTCCTGGTCAAATATTCTTTTTTCATCTAGGTTTATGTGATTTATGAGTGTACGAGACACTTTTAATGCATTCCTTTCCTATTAGCCAGTCTGGTTATCGTGCAGCCCGGGGTAGTGCAACTTTGAATATTATTTGATGGCAATATAGCTTAAATATATCGATATATTCCAAGCCTTGTGTATCTCGGTATTTATCAATATGTGAAAATGCTCTCTCCATCCTTGTTTTCAATATCTTCACGGTCCTGAATTCATGCTGTATCATGGCCAACACAAATACCGATTATCAACACCTTATCTTTACGGCTAATTTTGGCGGCTTTAGAGGGTCTGTCTAATAATGCGTGCCTTGTGGATGATAGGAGGTGGTTCAGTGTATCAATATTGTGGATTTTGCCAGCTGTTTTTCATGTAGCGACTTTTAGCAACTGACGTAAGAGAACCAGAAGGACGTTATTTAGCGACTTTTTGCTACTTTTGGAAGAGAAACAGAGAGTATCGTTGCTTAGAGAATTTATTTAGTTTGACGGTGGATTTGGCGAATTTCGTAAGAGTTGGCAACGCTGAATACTTACAGTTCATGTCGATCATGACGGCGGCCGAAAGCGGGTTGGTCAAATTGGTATTGCTAACTTCACACGTCACAAGTTTCTTCAGATCGCTGCGTTTAAAGGGCCCTAGAGTGAGCGTATTTGCGAGGATGGTTTGGGAGGCGGGCCCTTGGAGGAGCGTATTACCGTCCCCTATTTGGAACTGTGATTCTTCATCCATTTGGTCGTCGAGGAGCCGGTCACCCACGTACCACTGGATGCGAGGGGGCGGAGATCCTTTGGAGTTGGGAGAAGGAGAGAGAAAGAAGAGAAGAAAAACTGTTTGAATCATTGGTCACGTTTTCCGAAGTTTCCAACAGTTTTTATTTCTATTTATATATCCCTTTTCTACCAGCACTGTCCACTGGGTTATTCATTTTACTGTTTATCCAATGGACATTCCAGAATAATGAAAGAGGAATACGCGGTAAAAAAAAGAAAAGAAAAGAAAAGACACAAGAATACCAAGCACAAATCCTCCAGCATGAAAAAACAAAAAGAAAGCAACAGCACATACATACCTCCATGAGATAAGCAAGTGAGTGACGCTGTCTCTCCCTCCCTATACGGCCCCACCACGCTCGTTACGGGCCGACCCTCGTACAGCACGGAGACGCCAGTGGGTGGAACTGTGCAGGTGGAACGAAGGTGTGAGGGATAAGTTCTCGGATGGAGTGTTAGTTTATGCAGACCAGGGTACGTACTACTTTTTAGCAGTTGCCGTCTTCTTTAAATATGAATATTTTAAAAAGTTTCGCAGTAGGATTATGTTATCATGAGTAACTTGCTCTTACATGTTATGAGTTATGATAAAAAGGAAATCAAATACTTTTACATAATGCAGTTCAAGTAAACAAACAAGCAAAACCTGATTGCAAAGCAGTATAAAAATGATTTATAAACAAACGTACTAAAGACCAGCAAAAATTAACGAAAATATTTTTCCCTGCCCATGAAAAGTGAAAGTTAGTCACTAAGGATTAATTAAAGCTCAAAGTTCAGGTGCTCTTGACCTTCTCCAAACGGGTCTTTGTCAAGGTCGCCTGAGGCATGATGCAGATCATGAGGAGGTGAAAGAGAACCTCTTGCCGAAAACCCCTTTCTCTTGACAAAGGTCTTTTGAATGGCTGCCGAAAGGTCGCATAATTGCATGGAAGGGGAAGGGGGGGAGGGAAGGGGGCTTTCACGAACGTATAACGATTAAAGTTTGAAAGAGAAGGGAAAAGAATTCAGTAGGAATATTTGATGAATTGTGGGGCAAAAGTCGATGAGGCCGAAATCTATTTTAGAGCTATCGAAAGGGAAAGAAACAAAAACACAAGTAAAGAGAAAATTGTAATAAATAAAACATTGAAGTAGGCACACACATGTAAGCTGAGGGGCATGTGGGCGACAGAAAAAAGTGCGGACTTCTTTTCTGCATACTAATAGGTGTGACTGTGATGCGTAGATTAAAGCCTGTTTGCAAAAATCCTAGTGTGTTGTGCTTTTATTTCGAAAAAGAATTTTTAATCTCAAGTATCAGCATAAATACAGTGTTTAATCTTGAAACACAACAATCTTCCTTCGATCACTTGTTGTCAAGGAAAGCCAGGGTTAACACGTACCAATCACGGCGAGGCTGACGCGGGTCGTTTTGGTGGGCTGACGCCTGAAGTCCACCCTGCACTTGTAGAGTCCGGCGTCAGCAGCTTTGATATCCGTCAGCCGCAGCCTGGCCGGGCTCGAGGCCACGTCCAGACTGGCCCTCGTCCCAAGCACCGTCTCGTCCACCCAGTGCGCTCCCAACGCCCCGGGCCTCATGTCGTAACTGTTTGATGGAGGAAGGGCAAGAAATGAGGCCGTCGAGTTGCGGTGATCGCAGGACGCGCGCCGGGCTCCGCTGCGCCCGCCAGCCCGTGATCTCGAGGAAATGACTAGGCAATAAAAGTAAAACCTGACGGGTGTCCCTCCGCGCCAAACTACATCCAGGACTGATGCAGCACCGACGCTGACTTACCCGTGAACATCCGTGTAATATATCCCTGTTTCTGTTGTATCTAAGGCTGCGCTGCATTCGGTCCGACTTTAAAGGGAAGCAATTTCTTTTCCTTTCTCTCTTTTTCCTTTTTCTTTTTCTCTTTTAAGCCGTTGAATGGCTGCTCCCTTCATTCAGACTACAGAAATGTTGATTAATCTGAGAGCAGCGAGGAATATAATTTAAATAAAGACTATTCACCCCAAACTATTATTTCTCTGCATGCGAACGTGGTCTTAACTCCCCTACTTCTTGAATTATTTCAATTCACAATAATATACATCGTTCAGTCTGAATTAAGTCTTTACGTATTACCTTCTATTCAAGTTGCCTTCCAGTATCATAGCTGCCCCATGTCTTTTCCCTCTCGTCGTAGCCCTTGCAGTGCTTACAACACAGGGATAAAGTTACAGAAGACTGTGTTGTTCACGAGGCAGCGTCCGTTTTAATCTCGTCAGATCTCTCCCTATCCTCTTTCATACAATTCTGCTAAAAGTAGGATGATAAATGGATTCCACTAACACACACTCGCCATGTCTTCTGTGCCAGCACACACACACACAACACACACACACACACACACACACACACACACACACACACACACACACACACACACACACACACACACACACACACACACATATATATATATATATATATATATATATATATATATATATATATATACATATATACATTTTTATATACAAAGACACGCACACATATATATGTATATATATACATACATACTTATATATATTCATATTTGTATGTTTTACACACACACACACACACACACACACACACACACACACACACACATATATATATATATATATATATATATATATATATATATATATATATATATATATATAGCGATTAATAGATGGAAAATATTATTCCTAGGTTGCTTTTATTGCATATATTCAATATTTTCCCCCGTATATAAACAATATATGCTATTATTGCAGCTTGTTTTTCTCACTCTATCTCTCCTCCACTCTCCAGCGCCAGCACTATATATAGTATCGTAACAGCATCTTTTCTTTTAGACACGAGAAGTAAAAATAATTTTGTTAGCCTCGGATATTTTCTTCCGAATAAACCTTTAGACACGAGCTAGCACAAGTGTTCGTGTAAATTCGGATCTGACTTTTAATTGCATTTTCCTAAAAGCATTGTAAAGGTCACTTGCAGTCTTGATATATGATAAAAGCTATAACACTGATGGTGTTCATTTGCCTGCTTGTTTATGTTGCAATGTATTTGTTTTCCACGTTTTGTTTTTGATGTTCCAATATTTGGCTTCAGATAACCTTATGAATATTTTGCCTGAAGAATTCATTTACAGAAGTTTGTGTCTAATAATTTGTATCGACATCTGTCTCTCTCTCAAGTTATTTGTTTATATGTATATTATATATATATATGTACATATATTCATTTATATATATATATATATATATATATATATATATATATATATATATAATATATATATATATATATATATATATATATATATATATATATATATATATATACATATATTTATGTATTTACATACGTATATATATATATAATATATATATATATATATATATATATATATAATATATATATAATATATATATATATATATATATATATATATATATATATATATATATATATATATATATATATTATATATATATATATATATATATATATATATATACATATCTATGCATGCAGATATATATGTAAAGCATATATATCACTCTACCTAGGTGCCTATCATCTTTCTAATCATCTATTTATCTACATATCTGTTTGGATATCTACCTGTCTATCTATCTGTTTATGTATCCGTTTATCAATCAAACTATCAACTTACCTACCTATCTGAATACCTTTCTGTCTGTCTGTCTATCAGCCAATCTATCTGTCTATCTGTGTGTATGCATGTGTATGTAAGCTTCATGTATGCCTTATTAATTAGACCTATAAGATATACGGGACCGCTGTGATAAAAAAAGGGTATCTACTTTCCTTTGATGAAAATGACCATAAGGATCTTTTTCCTTTCATAAAGATTTCAAGTCCGTTTATATCCGCGGTGTTAAGTTCTGTCTTTCCGCCTGAACACCAAATAACTGCTGTTCATTAAGCATAACTAATTTCCATTATATGATTCATATCATTAGCAAGAGTTATTTGGGGATAAGCAGGGTTGATGAAGTCTAATGACTGGAGTGAAGTGGACGTAAGTGAAGCCAACTTAAATCAACTAGAATTAAGTTATATTATTGCTGTAATTATAATGAAAATTAGTATGATGAAGATCTTCCCTGACAGTAATGCTGACATTACGACTGCTGCTGATATCAATGATATTGCAAGAAAGGGAGGTAGCTTTAATAATTGTTGTTGTTAATGCACTCATTCATTTTACTCCTATTATGATATTACAGTTTCATTAATCTTACGAGTGTCAACATTTATATTACAAATGTTATCATTAATATTACAAATTTTATCATTAATATTACAAATTTTATCATTAATATTACGCTGGTTATCATAATTATTGCAACTGCTGCAATGATCGTTGTTATTACTATCACTAGAATCATCATAATCCCTATCAGAGAGAGAGAGAGAGAGAGAGAGAGAGAGAGAGAGAGAGAGAGAGAGAGAGAGAGGAGAGAGAGAGAGAAAGAGAAAGAGAAGAGAGAGAGAGAGAGAGAGAGAGAGAGAGAGAGAGAGAGAGAGAGAGAGAGAGAGAGAGAGAGACAGACAGACACAGAGAAAGAGACAGACAGACAGACAGAGACAGAGACAGAGACCCGACTTCTACCACAAAACAAGTAAACCCACCTGTAGATTGGGGTGGTGAGGTTGCCATTGAACCACAGAATAAGGAAAACCGCATCATCCCGAGGGTGCTCGAAGTTACAAGGCAGAATAGCCGTCCCACCTTCCACGGCAGTTACTGTGGAGAGAAAGACAAAGCACTTGCAGGAAACATAATGCGGTAACAGAAACACGTACGTAAATCTAATGAGAGAGAAAAAAAAAGAGAAAGGAAACAGGTGGTCCTTAATTAGTGTCAAAGTTGATGGGAAGAACATAGGGCTCCTCTTTTTACCTGTAAGTTCCTGGGGGAGAATGAGGATGTTGATGATGGGGGGGGGGGGGGGGAGAAAGTTATCCTGGTTTACTGCACTCCAGGGGAATGCAGTATTCTTGTTTATTTTGCTTCTAAGATCATTATCATGATTACTATTATCATCATGATCATTTTTGTTATTATTGTTATTATTATTATTATTATTATTATTATTATTATTGTCATTATTATCATTATCATTACTATCGTTAATATTATTATCCTTATCTTTATTATTATCATTATTATTATTATTATCATGATTGTTATTACTATCATACTCTTATTTTATTAATAATAGTTTTATTTTATTATCAATACTCTTATTATTATCTTAATATTATTATCATTACTATCAAAAGCATTATTATTATTATTATATTCATTATTATCATTATTATTATCCTTGTTATTATCATCCCAAGTACTATTATTATTATTATTATTATTATTATCATTATCATCACCAATATCACCATCATTATTTTTATTGTCATGATCAGTATATTCAATATCAACATTATCATTCTTATTCTTTTTGAGCGAAGTATATCCGGATGCCACTAGGAAAAGCATAACATCAAATGTTTAATACGTATTGAATGGATACAGATACCATCACACTCGCTCTCCCTCCCCCTCGCCTCCCCTCTCCCCCATTCCATAGCATCTACCCCCCCCCCAATTCCCATAGGATCTACCCTCCCCCCCCCCCCCTCCCCCGCCATTCCATAGCATCTACCTCCCCCCCCCCCCAATTCCCATAGCATCTACCCCTCCCCCTTCCCCCCTCCCCGGCATTCCATAGTATCTACCCCGAATCTCCCTACAACCCCCCCTATCCTTAGTAACCGACAGGAAAGATCTCTCACAATGTGGTTACAATGGAAACACCTCCCTTGCGATAACACGATTTCGGTAACAAGGCGAACAATGAACGAGATCGCATTTCTCGCTGCCAGATGTATAATGGATGCAATCAATTCCTCTTTCCCTTCCCTTTTTAAACGTCTAACCACGATCCCGGTTGGTCGTGAGAGAAAAGCTGGGAGGAAAACCGATCACCCGGGGAGAAGTCCTATAGTTCTGCGACGAGGACGCACACTAAAGAGGGCCTGGATGTATTCTCATGCACGGGCGAAAGTGCACCAACATCGATTTCACTTTCTTTTACAACCTAGTTTCCTTGAGGCGATATTGAATTATGTTTTACCGGCGAGTGGCGCGGGGGGCCATTTCGGGTTGGGTGCTGGAGGGGGGGGGGGAGACTGTTTTGGCGAGTTGTTTTTTCGTTGCATTCTGTTTTATTCGTTTCTTTCCACTTTTCCTCTCACTTCCCCCTTTAAAAGATAATATTGCTCTTCTTTCTCCCCTTCTCTCTTTATTTTTTCGTCGCTCTCTCTTTCTCTCTCAATCTCTGTCTTTCTTTGTCTCTGTCTCTCTCCTCTTTATCCCCCTCCCTCTTTCTCTCCCTTTTCATTAACTTTCTCTCTCTCTGTCTATCTATCCGTTTATCTATCGATAGCTCTTTCTATCTACATATTCATCTCTCTCACTCCCTCCTTTCTTACTCCCCTTCTCTCCCTCTACCAATCGCTTGCTCTATCTATATATCTCTCTCACTCC